GCGCTATTTAAGGCGCCCTCGCCGGCCCAGTGCGGTCCTGCAGGGCTCCAGCGGGCGCCGCTCTAGCCGTCGGCCCTCCTCCTCCTGGGCCGCCCGGCAGCAGGCGGTGAGTCGGGGCGGGGGTCCGGACGCCACCTGCCTGCGGGAGGTCAGGGGGCAGCGCGGGGGACCCCACCGCCGGGACAGCAGGTCACTGCGGGTCGCCCGCGGGCAGGCGCCCCAGGGCCAGGCTCCGTGCTCAGCGCGGTTTCCACCTTCGTCTCCTGGAATCCTCCTAACAAGCCAGGCGGTAGGAATAGCATTGTTCTCACTTCACTCGGAGGAGACTTAGGCTTTCAGAGGTTGTTTCTTGTCCAAGGCCTCAGTTAGTGAGAGCCGAGATAGAACCCAGCGCTGTTCCCAGAGCCTGGCTCTAAGTAGCTTTGCGCCTGAAAAGGGGCACCTCTCTCCTCCCCTCTCCCTACCTTCCTTCCCTGAAATGTTTTGGGAACTTTGCCTGTGTTCCTGTGCCTCCACCCTGTAATGACAGTTCGTTTCAAGGGTCTAGAATGTGGCAGCAACAGCTTTGAGGGTGGAGGGAGGGGCAGGGGTGGGGAAAGAGGACAGACCAAGTGTTCCCACTTACGCTGCAGGTGGTCCTTATTGCTGACAGGTGGAGCTCAAGGATACTACGCCTTCTAAACCCCCTCCCCTACATATTCTCATCTCACTCTGGAAGCTCAAAGATTAGAGTCATGCCAGCTGGGTGTGTGAGCTACCATGAGGGTGAGGGCAGAGACCTGAGGCTTTGAGCTCCCGAAGAAACTAAAAAGAACACCTCTGTCACCATCACCCCTTCCCCCCACTGCCTGGGGGCAGCCAGTCTTGGGCAAAAGGGAGGAGGGGCAAAGCACAGCTGTGTGGTCTTACATAAAAGTTCCCCACAAAGGAGCCTCAACTCCTTCCAGAACTCCTCAGCCTATGGCCATCTTGGGGCCCTGGCTGAAGAAAAGAGGGATATGGGTGATTAAACAGGGATCCTAGCTGCACCCTGCCATTCAGAGAAACAGAATACGTCCGTGCAAAGAGCTTAGCAGCCATCATCCAAAGACTTGCTTTGGATGGCCCCGCTGAATACAAGGCCCAGGCCAGTCCTTCCCCTCCCAAGCCTGGGTTTCCATAGGTAGAAGGCATGGCTGACCTCCCCACATGCTTGTTGCTAGGGTGAGCAAGAAGGATGCCACGCTGACGAGCCGACACTGTCTCCCTGCAGACGGAGGCCCAGGAGCCATGGGTGACTGGGGCTTTCTCGAGAAGCTGCTGGACCAGGTCCAGGAGCACTCAACTGTGGTGGGCAAGATCTGGCTGACCGTCCTCTTCATCTTCCGCATCCTTATCCTGGGCCTGGCCGGCGAGTCCGTCTGGGGTGACGAGCAGTCAGATTTTGAGTGTAACACTGCCCAACCTGGCTGCACCAACGTCTGCTACGACCAAGCCTTCCCCATCTCCCACATCCGCTTCTGGGTGCTGCAGTTCCTCTTTGTCAGCACACCCACCCTGGTCTACCTGGGCCACGTCATTTACCTGTCACGGCGAGAGGAGCGGCTGCGGCAGAAGGTGGGGGAGCTGCGGGCGTTGCCAGCCAAGGACCTGCACGTGGAGCGGGCACTGGCAGCCATAGAGCGCCAGATGGCCAAGATCTCAGTGTCAGAGGACGGTCGCCTGCGGATCCGTGGCGCACTGATGGGCACCTACGTGGCCAGCGTGCTGTGCAAGAGCGTGCTTGAGGCAGGCTTCCTCTATGGCCAGTGGCGGCTCTACGGCTGGACCATGGAACCCATGTTTGTGTGCCAGCGAGCACCCTGCCCCCACCTCGTGGACTGCTTTGTCTCTCGGCCCACAGAGAAGACCATCTTCATCATCTTCATGCTGGTGGTCGGACTCATCTCCCTGGTGCTCAACCTGCTGGAGTTGATGCACCTGCTATGTCGCTTCCTCTGCCGGAAGATGGGGGCACGGCAGGAAATGAGGGCACTGCAGGGCCCGGACACACCCCCAGCCCAGGGCACCTCCTCGGATGCTTACACGGACCAGGTCTTCTTCTATCTCCCTGTGGGCCAGGGGCCCTCATCCCCGCCATACCCCGCCTACAATGGGCTGTCGTCCAGTGAGCAGAACTGGGCCAACCTGACTACGGAGGAGAGGCTGGCTTCTTCTAGGCCCCCTCTCTTCCTGGACCCACCTCCCAAGAATGGCCAGAAATCCCCCAGTCGCCCCAGCAGCTCTGCCTCCAAGAAAGAGTACGTGTAGGGGCCTGGGGCTTATGTCACCCAACGGGGGGTCCTGAGAAGTCTGGCTCCCTGAGATCCCCTTGCTTGAAGGCTCTGCAGAGATGACTGGGCTGGGGGCGGTGCTTGCTGGCCAGAGGGTCTCACTGCAGGTTGTTCTTGAACACTGGAGGCCTTTCTGGTGGCCAGAGGCACAATGGCTTCTTCGGTATGTGGCTTGGGGTGATCCTGGCCAAGGGTGCTGTGGGCCCTCTGGCCTTTTGTACCTGATCCAGGGGGACCCAGAGCCAGCTTATTCCAACCCAATCATTAAGGAAGATTCACCTCTGTCGGATCATCCCCACACTCTGTTCTCATAGGAAAAGGCTGCTGGGTCAGCCTTGGTCACACAGACAGCCTGAGCCGGATCTGGTCTGTCAAGGGGACTGGGGCCTTGTTTCCATAACTCCTTCCCAGTTCCACAGTTTATGCTTCTCAAATAAACAGGACTTGATCACAAGTGAGGTGTGTATTGATGCTGACATGATATGCTTCCTGGGGGCAGGCGGGGGGGGGGGAGCAGTTACCTCACCCAGGCTTCCTTTTCTGTTTGGTCCCATATAATCTGTCTTAAGTGTCTTCATCCCCACCTTCAGCCAGTACCTTAAACCCTCAGACTCAGACCTTCTACAGTCCTGAGTCCCAAGTGCTCTGCCTTTTGAAGTATCTTGGACACCATCCTCTTCCTCCCCGCTGCCCTAGCCCACCAACTGGTGGGCAAAGCAGTGTCATTGCCCTGCCTGCCCCATGCCCATTTGGTGCCCTGGCCACACAAACTTAAGGGCAAATGGTATGGAGGTTTAAGGGTGAGAGTGTTGCGGGAATGGGACTTTACGGTTTGGGGTGGGGAAATGGTGAAGACATACAACGAAGAGGGCTGTAAGCTCTATCCCCCCATATTCACTTGCTAGGACTGTCATAAGTACCACAAGCTGAGTGGCTTAGACAACAGAAATGGATTCTCACAGTACTGGAGGCCAGCTGTCTAGATCATATCGCCTGAAGGGCTGGTTCCTTCTGAGGGCTGTAAAGGAGAATCTATGTGGTGCCTTTCTCCTAGCTTGCTTGCTTTTTTTTTTTTTTGTGAGTTGGAGTCTCACTCTGTCGCCCAGACTGGAGTGCAGTGGCCGCTCCCGGCCACCGCAGCCTCGACCTGCTGGGCTCCGGCGATCCTTCCACCTCAGCCTTCCAAGTAGCTGGAACTACAGGCGCGTGCTACCACACCTGGCTAATTTTTTGATTTATTGTAGAGATGAGGTCTCGCCAAGTTGCCCAGGCGAGTCTCAAACCCATGGGCTCAGGCAATCCACTCACCTCAGCCTCCCAAGGTGCGGGATTACAGGCTGAGCCACTGAGTCCGACTTCTAGCTTTCGACGCTCTGCTGGCAACTGTTGGCATTCCTCAGCTGTTAGACACATCACCCCCATCTCTACCTTCACCTTCACGTGACATTCTCCCTTTGTGTGTGTCCATCTCTGTCCAAATTTCTCCTTTTATGAGGATACCAGTCATACTGGATTAGGGCCCACCCTAACGACTCTGATTTAAATTGATTGCCTCTGGAGAGGCCCTATTTCCAAATAAGGTTACATTCTGAGGTACTACTAGGGGTTAAGACTTTAATATATCTTGCAGGGGAGCACAATTCAACCCCTACCACCACGCTGCCGGCCCAACCTCACCTCCAAGCACTGCTCAGGGAGGCTAAGAAGGATGTTGGACTCAAGCACCTCCTCGGTGATGTGGCCGGGACAGAACACGGCAGGTTCACACCTCACTTCTTCCTTTGCTTCCTTATTTCTCCCACCCTCACTGTCACCACAAGCTACATTGATAGCCCGCAGCTCTCAGTCACAGAAGGAGCCATGGTCTGGAGTTAGGATATTCAGCTCCTGCCTCCCACCTCTCATACTCACTTCACTCTGGCTCTTTCCTTGCCCAGTTTCCCCACTGTGAAATGAAGGGGTTGGGTGAGAAGCAAGCGTGTGACAGTTAGGTACCAGGAGCATTGCGTGAGGTAATGTCACTCATCATTGATCTGAAACTTATGAGTGGTCTGCTCTTTTTCATGAATCAACAGATTCAAGGTTATTTCTATAATAAGATCAATTCCAGTTGCGTAAATTCACATCGCCTTCCCGAATAGGAAAGAAAGGAATGGGGTTGTGTGGAGTGCACTGGAATTTTGTGCAACCAAAAGTCATCTTATTTGTGACCCATGGGAGTGTGTGAACATCATACATCGCACGTACACAAGGCAGAGAGCTGTGGGGCTTAGTGACATCAAAACTTCTTTCCATGCTAACATGCTGGCTCACTGGTCACCGGGTTGTTGACCTCATGGTCCCTTTGACCTCCAGAGCACTAGGGTCCTTCATTTCCTCTTCACGCCAACCTCAGCATGATCGTTGATGTTTGCAGGGAGAGGTGTCCATCACAGATGCTGTCAGAGCATCTTTCTCCACCTTTGAGCTTCCCCCACAGCCTTGGCTCTGACCCTAAGAGCTGCATGACACTCGACTGTTCTGTCCCTCTCATGCAGTGCTACAGCCACATACAAATTGCCACCAGGCCCATGCTGAGCCTACTCTCTCCCACTCCTCCAGCTAACCCTGATTTCCAGAAGTCTCTGGCCAACCTGCAGTTTGTTTACTTTCCTCTTAACATGTGGCATCCTCCCTTGTATGCCAGACATGACACTCCAGGTGATCAGAATCCAGACTATCACCTCTCTTGCCCTAAAATTTCTGCCTCTATTGATGCAACCTCAGATTACATTAACTTTTTAATTGTCTTCTCCTTTTCATATATCAAAAACTTTTTGAATTACAAAGATAGTGCATGATTACTGTAGACAATGAGATCCCACCATCTAAAGGTAACAACTGTTAATATTCAGAAGTTCTTTCCTTCCAGCCTTCTTCCGTGCATTTTTTTTTTTTCTTTTTTTTGAGTTGGAGTCTCACTCTGTCGCCCAGACTGGAGTGCAGTGGCTGCTCCCGGTCACCGCAGCCTCTACCTGCTGGGCTCCGGTGATCCTTCTGCCTCAGCTTTCCAAGTAGCTGGAACTACAGGTGTGCCCTACCACGCCCGGCTAATTTTTTGATTTATTGTAGAGATGAGGTCTCACCAAGTTGCCCAGGTGGGTCTTGAATCCACGGGCTCAGGCAATCCACTCACCTCGCATTTTTTTTTTTAAGTCAGAGCTTCACTCCGTTGCCCAGGCTGGGGTGCAGTGGCACACTCACAGCCAACCCAGCATCAACCTGCTGGGCTCTGGTGATCTTTCACCTCAGCCTTCCGAGTAGCCAGAGCTACAGGTGTCCACTATCATACCCAGCTAATTTTTTTTTTTATTTATTATGGAGACAAGGTCTCACCAAGTTACCCGGGCTGGTCTTGAACCCATGGACTCAGGCAATCCACTCGCCTCAGCCTCCCAAAGTGCTGAACCAAGGCTGAGCCACCGAGTGCAGCCTCATGCATATTTTTAAATAAAATCTAAATAAAGGTAGACACTTACAATTTTATATTATGCTTCTTTCATTTTATACTAAATCATAAGCCTTCTCCCCATGTCATTAAATAGGTATCTTTGGACCCCCCACTTAATGGCTTTATCATATGGCTTTATCCATGACCCTTAACCCTGACCTTGATGTTGGTTTTTTTAGGATGCAACCAATTATCCTCTATTATAAATTGTCCTATGATGCAGATAACTGTACATAAGTGTTTCCCAAATTTTTATTTCCTTGAAAGAAAGATACTCCAAGAAGTGAAATTGCTGGGTCAAAATGTAGGAAGTTTTGAATAAGGAAAATTTAGGGACTTTTTTCTGATTGTGAAAGTGATTCACTGTAGATGATTCAGAAATGCAGAAAAGCACCAGCAAATTACAAGAAGCAAAGGCATCAGCTACCTCTGGGGGGTATGGAGGTAGAGCTTAAAACAGGAGAGTTCACTACAAGCAGTCAGGCTGGTGGATCCTCCCTCCAGTCTGAGCAGTGAGGCGGGAGTTTATTCTTTGGAGAGGAGAAAACAGAGAAACACCATGCAGAGTTGAGGGTAAGAACACCATAAATAAAGCAGAGGGATTAAATGGAAGTTTTCATACTGAATGGTGGGGCCTTCCACCCTTCTCCTCCCATTTGGCTCCCAGAACATTGGCTGATGGATAAGCTGGATAAAGAGAATCTGATCTAGCCTGGAGAAGGTGAACTTCAGGGCCCAAGAAGTGAGGAGGAATGATCTAGGAAGAGATGAGGAAGAGTATTCCAGGCAGACAGGGAGCAGCATTTCTCAAGGCTCTCAAGAAGAAAGGGGCTTGATGTTTGCTGCTCAGGGTTGTTTTTGACTTGTACTGCCAAGTTGCTTTCCAGAAAAAATGATTATATGTTCAATAACATTGAATGAAAGTGCTTGTTTCAAAGCATACATACCAGCATTATTATAATTTTGTAATTTACTTGCCTATTCATTATTAAACAGGCAAAAAATGGTATCTCCTTTCAATGGGAAATCCTAGATTATTAGTGAAGGAGACATTTTAACGTATGAGAAAACATACCCAAAAAAGCCTGGAATTTATTTATAAAAAATTGTGTATTTACTCTTACATATTTTTTGTTTGTTTGTTTGCTTTTTGTGGTTTTTTTTTTTTTTTTAGTTGGAATCTCACTCTGTTGCCCGGGCTGGAGTGCAGTGGCTGGCATGCTCATAGCCACCACAGCCTCGACCTGCTGGGTTCAGGTGATCCTTCCGCCTCAGCCTTCCAAGTAACTGCAACTACAGGCATGCACCACGACACCCAGCTAATTTTTTGATTTATTGTAGAGATGAGGTCTCACTAACTTGCCCAAGCTGGTCTTGAACCCGTGAGCTCAGGCAATCCTCTCACCTTGGCCTCTTAAAGTACTGGGATTATAGGTGTAAGCTACCACACCTGGTCTATTACATATTTAAACTTCAGTCAACTTTTTTTTTTTTTTGGAGTTGGAGTCTCACTCTGTCACCCAGACTGGAGTGCAGTGGCCGCTCCCAGCCACCGCAGCCTCAACCTGCTGGGCTCCAGCAATCCTTCCACCTTAGCCTTCCAAGTAGCTGGAACTACAGGCGCGCGCTACCACATCCGGCTAATTTTTTTATTTATTGTAGAGATGAGGGCTTGCCA